TTTCCGTGGCTGCACCAGTCTGCATCCTACCAGCAAAGTACCAGGGTCCGCTTTTCTCCACATCCTTGCCAGCATTTATCTCTTACCTTCTTGACAGTAACCATCCTAACTGTGTGTCCTGATATCTCATGGTTTAAATTTGCATCTTCCTGATCATCAAGGATGTTGCACACCCCTTCATATCCCTGCTGGTAATTGCTGTATCTCCGGAGAAATGTCTGTTCAGGTCCCCTGTCCACTTTTCAATTGAACCATTTGTTTTGTGCCATTGAGTTGTAGGAATTCTTTATAAATTTTGGATATTAGCATCTTATCAGATACGTGGTTTGCAAATATTTTCCCCAGTCTGTAGGTTGCCTTTTCATTTTGTTGATAGTTTCCTCTGGGAAACCGAGGCTTTTTAGCCTGATGTAGTCCCGTTTCCTTATTTTTACTTTTATAGCCTGAACTTTTGGTGTGAGACTCAAAGAAATCATTGCTGAGGCCATCATCAAAGAGCTTGTCTTCTATGTTCTCTTCTAGGAGTCTAATGGTTTTAGGTCTTACATTTAGGGCTTTTGTCTATTTGTGAGTTAATTTTAGTGCATGGTATAAAGTCAGCATCCACTTTCATTTTGTTGCATATGGAAATCTTTTTAAGAGACTGTTCTTTCCCTATTCCGTCCTCATCAAAAATGTGTTGATGCTATAAGTTTGGATTTATTTCTGGTCTCTGTATTCTGTTTCTTTGGTTGTATTTCTGTTTTCTGTTTGATTTTTTTGGGACAGGGTCTTACTATGTATCCCAGGCTGAATTTGAACTCCTGGAGTGAGTAATTCTGCTGCCTCAGCCTCCCAAGTAGTTGTGACTGCAGGCATGCGTCACCGCTCTCAGCTTATGTTTTTGTTTTTAGGCTAGTATCTTACTATTTTGATTATGGTAGCTTTGTAATATGTTTTGTTTTGTTTTGTTTTGTTTTTTTGAGTTGGAGTCTCACTCTGTTGTCCAGGCTGGAGTACAGTGGCAAGATTACAGCCACCACAGCCTTGACCTGCTGGGCTCAGGCGATCATTGTGCCTCAGCCTTCCAAGTAACTGGAACTACAAGCACATGCCACCATGCCTGGCTGATTTTTTCATTTATTGTAGACACAAGTTCTCGCCAAGTTGCCCAGGCTTGTCTCAAACCCGTGGGCTCAGGCAGTTCTCTCACCTCAGCCTCCCAAAGTGCTGGGATTATGGGCGTGGGCCACTGTACCCGGCTGAAATACGATTTTAGATGAAGAAGTATGATACTTCAGTTTTTTTTCTTTTTCTTAATTTTTTTTTTTTTTGAGTCGGAGTCGCACTCTGTCACCCAGACTGGAGTGCCGTGGCCACTCTCGGCCACTACAGCCTTGACTTGCTGGGGTCCGGCGATCCTTCCGCCTCTACCTTCCAAGTAGCTGGAACTACAGGTGCGCACTACCACGCTCGGCTAATTTTTTATTTATTATAGAGATGAGGTCTCGCCAAGTTGCCCAGGTGGGTCTCGAACCCACAGGCTCAGGCAATCTCCTCACCTTGGCCTCCCACAGTGCTGGGGTTACAGGCTGAGCCACCGAGCCCAGCCCCAATTTTGTTTTTCTTTCTCAGTATTGCTTTGGCTATTCATTATTTTATATGGTTTCATATGAGTTTTAGGACTTTTTTTAATTTCTGGGAAAAATGCCATTGGAATTGTGATAGGGATTGTGTTGAATATTGCTTTGGGTAGGTAGTGTGGACACTTTAACAACATTATTTAGTTTTGTGAACATAGGATATCTTTACATTATTTGTGTCTTTATATCATTGTTTTAATTTTCATTGTATGGTCTTTCACCTCCTTGATCAAATTTATTCCTAAGTATTGTTTTTTATGCTATATAATAAATGGGATTCTTTTTTTAGTTTCTTTTTCAACTAGGTTGTGATTTATGTATGGAAGTCCTGCTGATTTTTGTATACTACTGATTTTGTATCCTCTAACTTTACTGAATTCACTTATTTAACAGTTTTTTGTGGAATATCTGACAGTATATACTTGATTTTATAAAATTTTCTCTGACACATTTAATGATAAAAATTGTAATTCTGAATATATTTTAAATGTGGAGAACAATGTGTAATGATGCTTTTCTTTTTTGTTAATTAGCTTTAATTATTTTAGAATGTATACATATATCAAAACATCACATTGTAACTCATAAATATATGCAATTATTATGTATCAATTAAGGTTCTTTCTTTTCTTTCTCTCTTTATTTATTTATTTTTGCCAGATACTGTAGTGTTGCTTTTCTCGGCCAGCATGTATGCTCATATTGTGAGTGAAACATGTAAGAAGACTGGTTCACTACTTTTATAAGAATAGCTATGTACTTAAAAATTAAAATTAGGTAAAAAATAGAATTAGGGAAATTCTTCTTTGGTAGATCAGAGATGACATTTTGAACATAAGTTCTTTTTAATTGCATTTCATGCTGTCTTGTGGGTTTTATTTCTATTCCTGTCCTTTACCTTATCTTCAGACCCACCATGCAGGCCTGCAAAGCTTCTCCAGGGTGTACACACGCCCTCTTCTGGCTACCTTGAATTGTTACTGGACATCTTATAAAAGTGTTATGGCAGTAGTAGGTCAGAAAAATTATTCAGATACAAGTACTTTTATATTATTGGTTCTTCAAAGAGAAGATTTTGAAGAGTTAAATATGATTTTGGTAAACATTTGTCTATGGTGTATTTTTAGGCTGTGAAATACTATGTGTGAAATTACCCTATATTCAAAATATGAAATTAGACCATTTAATAATCCTTTACTAATATACATTAAATCCTTGCTCATAGGTCAGCATATAAACATGAAATAATGTTTGTATTGATCTGTGCCTCAAGAGTAAGCAAACTGATGGTTTCATGTGTTTGTAAATCTTGCCTCCCTATTTGGGGAAATTTTGAGATTTATCATTGGGTGGCATTGTTGGGTAATTTTTCAGCACATAGTAAAATTGACACATGAAATAGAAAATTTTCCAGGGATGCTTAAAAACACTTTGTGGAGATATAAGCAACATTGAAAAGTCTTAAATTTATGAACCTTGTAAGAAAATGGCTAAGAAAAATAGCAATTATTTTAAACCTCAGTTTTGAAACTTTCAGGTCAATTTTGTTTTATCTTATTTTTTTTAACAAATGTTTATGTTTAAAACTGTGATTGAATTTTGAAAAACTTTGCTTGGAATGAAACATACATTCTATACTTAGTTGGGTGATTAAGTTTTAATAAAATTGGGTTCTGAGGTTTTATGTTTTTGTCTTATATGAAACTTTGTATGTTTTCTTGGTTTAGTTAATATAATGTTTGTGTTTTGTCATATTTGGTCAACTTTCCAAATGAAGGACTGAGTGTAAGTTCTCTTTTTACAGTTAAAAGTACATTATCATCTTCTCTTAATATTGAATAGACTTAAGGTTCTGATGATAAATAATATCCCACTTGACTAGTAAGTCAGTGAAGGCTTATAATGATGTTGCCACTTTTCAGTAGCTACCCTGAACTACCTTTAAATTTTTAATAACCACCAGGCTCAGTGGCTCAGCCTGTAATCCCAGCACTTTGGGGGCCAAGGTGAGTGAATTGCCGGGGTCCACGAGTTCGAGACCTGCCTGGGCAACTTGGCGAGACCTCGTCTCTACAATAAATAAAAAATTAGCCGGGCGTAGTAGCGCGTGCCTGTAGTTCCAGCTACTTGGAAGGCTG